TTATTTATTATAATTGAATATTCTGTTTAATAATTTTAATACTAATAATAAAAACTTTATTAATATTTTTTTAGAATCCTGATGAAACAAGTCAATATCTTCTGCATTATATTGAAGATGTAGATACACATTAGAATTTCAGTTATTTAGCCTGAATGCATTTAATTGAAATTAAACCATATATTGATATTCTAGTTACTACTTTACCAATCAATAACAATTCTGATGCAAGAAAAGATAGATATCGACTTATTAAAATTGTTGACAAAAAAAGAATAGGAATTATTAGCTGATTTATGTTTTATATTAGAAGGATTTGCTAAAGCTACTACTTATCTTGGAGCAAGCAAATATGTAATACATAGTATTATGAGTCCTTTATTAAAAGAGATTGAAAGATGCATTAAACCAACAAATTTAATATTTGAAACTAATGTAGATTTGGAAAATATTGATGATGTTTTTGAAAAAATAGATGAAGGTGAAATTTTAGAAACAAATGAAAAAAAAATTGATTCTATAACTAGTTAACATAAAAATTTAAATCTTAACGATTCTTTGGATACTAATGGAATGTTAGAAAAAGTTAAACATTCTTTATATAAAGTAATAAAAATTTATTGGCATACTAAAAAAGGAGATACACTTATATTAACAATACTTAATCCTAGGATTAAATCTCTTACTTTTATTAATAATCAAAATTTAAAAGATTAAGTAAAAACATTATTATAAAATAAATATACAGTAGCGGTTATAAGTATCCGACCGCCTGAGATCATCCAAAATTACTATATAACTACCCCTTAAATTTTCCAGAAATATAATGTAACACAATACATGATCACCTGTAAATTTATAAGTGTCAATAATACAAAAAAAAATTTAGATGATCATCAAACTTTCGCTTGAAAAATGAAACTTTCTTTAGAAAAATGATATAAAATTGTCTTTTTACGTGAGCACTCAGCTTGTCCAAAGTTTAGTTTTGGATTTATTGCTAAACAGGTACATTGTTGTAAGTCTACAGTTATTTATTAGGTTAAAAGAAATCATGAAAATCAGGACCTAAGTACTTCAGAAAGACTGGGGCAGCCTTGTGTAATATCTGTGAAACAAGATGACAAGATTGTAAAGATGGTAGAGAAAGAACATAATATAACAGCCATTCAAATATAAGAAAAAATGGAAGAAAGAGGTGTTGGGATTAGTGTAGAAACAGTAAGGCGACGTCTTCGTAAGTCTGGAGGAAAGTTTAGTAATGAAATTTCTAAACTTTTGCTTAAAGAATACCATCGAAAGAAAAGGTTACAATGGGCAAACAACATAAGAATTTTGATTGTAATCGAGTTGTTTTTACAGATGAGAGAATATTTCAATTATTACATCAAAAAAAAGGTTTGGCAGTTTCCTAGTAGAAAAAAAGTGTTTCGTTCTGTTAAGCATTTACCAAAAGTTCATGTTTAGGGATGTTTTTCTGCTTCTGGATTTGGTAAGCTATTTTGCTTTCAGAGAAATCTTAATGCTGAATTTATGTGTACTATTTATGAGCAGAATCTTCTGGCTTCCACCTCTAAACTTTTTGGTGAAGGTAACATAGATTGGATCTTGCAAGAAGATTATGATCTAAAGCATCGATCAAAAATCGCGAAAAAATGGAAGGAAGAAAATGGCATTAAGGTACTTTCTTGGCCATCAATGTCTCCAGACCAAAACCTTATAGAAAACGTTTGGAGGTTAATGAAAATTAATATACAAAAAAAAAATTCGATCAATTAGAAGGTTAAAGGGGGAACTTACAAAAGAATGGAACCGATTATCACCTGTACTTGCCATGAATTTGGTAGCTAGCATAAAAAGACGTACAGCTGCACTTATAGAGTCAGATAATGACTACACAATGTATTAATTTTAGTTAGTTGATTATGTATTTTTTAAATAAAAAAAAAATTTTGAATTTACTTACTTGTAGCTGAAGTTAGAGGAGGTCAGATACTTATGACCGCTACTGTAATGCACTTAAAGAAGAAATTATATCACCAATATTACTGGAAATAAGATCTGAACCATTACGAAGTTCCTTTTATTAAACATCCTTATTTTCTATTTTTGAAAAACAACCAACCCAACAAGTTAATGATGAAGTTTTAACATATTTGAATTTATTTAATTTATTTGAAATAAATTTTGAAATGAATCCATTTTATTGGTTGTGTGATTACTATACATGAAGTCGAAAAGGATCATTTTGGATATCCAAAATGGTCGAAATAGTTAAAATCATTTTTTTTGATACTTTTACTAGGCACGCACTAGTGGTAATATATTTGGATGCATACCTTCAATAGAATGATACGTTTTACAACACATCCAATTTCACTATTAACCACCTTTACTATATTTTAAACCAGTTTGAGTTAACGTTAAACCTGGGTGAATGAGTGTCAATATCTGAGTAGACTGCTAAACTAATGAACCCATAGGGTAGAAAGATATGGTACACGACCATCATTCACATTCATCACAACTACTAGAAAAAGGTCAAGAACAACCTAAGATGATAGCCTATACCATAGTTGTCTCGTCATACGTCAAAATCACCCCAGAAATTGAACCTATGCCTCCAAACCCTAGTTGTGATATAGACATCACAATAATTGAAGACAGTGCAATATCAACCACTTATAACCTATGACTTTTGTTCAATCTAAGTTATATAATGCTTACCATTGACCTACCCTCACGGGTACCCTTTGTAGACAATGCAGTACTTGTCCATTACAGACCAGCCCTTTAACATAGGTTCTAAACTCAATTGGTTCACTATGCATCAAGTTATTTATCACCATTACCTGTTATCAGGGTGGTGTGTAGATGAAGCGACCTTACACAGCTTATGCTGTAGGAGCTACCATCCTTCATGTAAATAACTATCAATTGGTCACCATATTCTACAAATTCGTGATCTTCAATATACATGGTTTGTATGCATCATATGAAATTTATTCCCAGAATCGTACTGGTAAATCCCGTAAATTAAATTATTACGATCTGCCTTGGCTAGAGGTTGAACTAGGGTCTATTGCAGTGTAACCTATAATAGGTCTCAGTTGTTACCAACTAAGATAAGGTGGCGAGGCCTTAGTCGAAATCATTTTGACCATTGAAGGCTAAAGTCATGAAATAGTCAAAATGACGTCATATCACATGATTTTCATATTGAAAAAAAACAATAAACAAAAAATATACGATCTCGGTCAATATCGCACTGATTCATATGAAACAACTACCATTAGATTCCTTGATTAGATTCCTTACTACTCTTTCATGTTGGATTTTTTCCAAGAATTTTTACTTAAAAAAAGTGCCTGTTCAACGGCGGCTGCGGCTTAGCCTGTGAACAAACAAAAAAACCCCACCTTTCAAAGATATTTCTCTCTTTGTTCCCCATACCCCTATCCACATAAAATTTTTCAAAATAGTCTAAACAGTGTTGTTTTTTGTTAAAACATTTTTTTCTTCACCTCTTTTCGAAAATTTTTTTTCCGTTTTTCTCTTTTTCTTTTTTGCCTACTTAAAAGTGAACATCAAGGGGTATCCTAACTGACAATCATGATCGACATACTTTGGATAAACAAATCTCACGTGATGACACCTTTCCCCTTCCTAAACAATATACTCTCTTT